TGCCCTGACTCCGCCCCTGACTGGGATAGGTTTCGAACATGTGACCTCCTCTTTAATTTGGGAGTGTCACAGTGATGCCATTGAATCACAGAGTGTTTGGCATATACGACACAATATTATTCATTAATTATTGTATCTTAACATTTACTTATTATTATGCATGGATCTGTCTCGGTTCCGACCATGGACAACTGGTCCCAGAAGGTGGCTAGCTATGTACCCTAGAATCGAGACTAGCACCGGGTATATCGGTTCTAAGTCAGTTCTGGTCTAGTCTCGATTTTGGATTTATTTATGTTTTTGAACCCTGTCAAGCCCCATCCCTACCCTTTTTTGGCTTTTAAATGAATTTAAACATATTTAAAATGCTTATAATCCTTTGATATGCAAAAAATAACACATAAAAAGACTGTACTAGGACTAGACTGGTTGGTTTCGGTCCCCAAAATCACTTATCAGGTCTGGCGCCAATAGCGGACAAGTCTGGTGCCGGTCTTTGAATCAAACGGGAAGAAAAGGTCAGCGCCGGCCCGGTCTCGGGAATCAGAACCAATTAAGTCTACTTAGAATGTTTTTAATTAGACTGAAATTCTGGTCTGATCTAATCTTGTCTGGCATGGTCTCATAGACGTCCAATCTTATACTCCCTCCGTCCCAATATAAAAGGCACATTTGTGTTTGGGGACTTTTTAAGGGTGAACACTGTTTGAACACTGTTTGGCACTGTTTAGACACTGTTTGGCACTGTTTGGACACTGTTTGGCACTGTTTGACACTGTTTTGTTTGCCAAAAAGGGAAATGTGCCTTTTATATTGGGACGGACCGAAAAGGAAAGTGTGCCTTTTATATTGAGACAGAGGGAGTATATATTTTACAATTGTCGAAATCTGGTTTGATTTATTGAAGTCTGGTACGATTTGATCTATGACTAAGACCAATCAAGCTTATATTTATTTTTGGAAGGTAGCGAGGTTATACAATGTTTATATGTTATCTTATTTCAGTCACATTCCAGACCAAAATAGATTAGATTAGACTTAAGTGGAACAAATCAGATCATATTAGATTTCAATAGTTGTAAAATATACATAGGCTACACATGTACGAGATCAAACCAGATCAAATAATACTGGACCAGACTCAAATGGATTAGACCATATTAGATCAAACCATACCTCAAAATTTAAATCCAATATAAAAAAAAGGGCCTTTTCCATGAGTATTATTAAATTAAATTCAAAAGACAAAAATATGATTTATTTAAAACTTTTCAAAAAAGTGACATATCCAGTGACTAGCTAGTTCTCAGTGACTCATTATCTATCAGTGATTGGTCACTTTGAAATAAATTATAATGACTCCCGTCTAGTTATTACTAGTACACAGTGTGATTAGTCATATTTTTCTCCAAAAATATAACTAATCATCTTTTTGTCCCGAAAAAACTTTGTGAGTAAATTACATGTCATTTTTTCTATAGAAACAATCATACTAGTAGTTCTCATGCATATGAGCTGTAGGGGGCAGTCATCCTATACTCCGTATTACTACGTATTTCTTTCAGTGAAAAGTTATTTTGACCGAGCAATAATTGGTTTTAAAAAGTTCGGTCTCTTTGATTATCTCTCGCAGGATAATGTAAACGATAGCTTTTAAAGCATGAGAGACATTTGACTCGCTAGAAACTATAGAAAATTGCTTTCACATAACCAAAGGTTAACAGATACTACGTATTAACTAAGAGAGAATTGATTGTCTTTAGCTAATTTTTTTCTGTCTTGCTCTACTTTGCCAACCATTCTACTTTAACTACATTGTAATCCGTATTTGCATTTAACTACATAATTAACTAAACTATATAATTAGACATCTTAATTATAGCGTTGACGTAACCTTGCAGATGTCGAATGAATCATCAATTGATCCAACTCTAAAGAAATAAATAATTGTGTAAACCTAGTTGACTAGGGTTGAGGTTAATTCTCTTAGGCCTTGTGTGGTTCAAAAGAGGGGAGGGAAGGGGAGAGTCAAGGAGGGAAGGGAAGGGAAGGGGAAGGAAGGATTTTGATAAAAATTTGTGTTTGGTACTTTGGTTGGAGGAAATTCAATAGGAGGAAAGGTTTAAATTAAAAAAACATTTTTCCAATTTATGTCTATTTGATAGCTTACTTAAGAAAATAGATACATCTCTAACTATAATGAATATTACTCATATGGTCATGAGTCATAATATTTTCTTTTGATTTTTTAATTTTTAATTTTTATAATTTTTTATTTTTTTTATTTTTAATGTTATATTTTTTTGTTAATTTTATTAATTTTTATTTTTTTTTAATATTTTAGTTTTTGAATTTTGAATTTTTAATTTTTTATTTTTTAATTTTTACTTTTTTTAAATTTTTTAAATCTTTAAATTTTTAAATTTTTAAATTTTTTAAAACTTTTTATTTTTTACCTTTTTTATATTATAACGTTTTGTGCATTCATGTAGGAGATGGATAGTTTGTGATTATCAACATGTTTCCTCCGAAATACCCTGATTTGAGGGGTTTAGAATGGGAGGAAGTGGAGGATTTTGGAAGTCTTCCACTTTCCTCTCCTTCCCCCCTATGTCCTTTAATCAAACTCACATAAATCCCTGACTTCCCTCCCCTCTGAAACCCTCCAACCAAACAGGGCCTTAGAGTTTGAGAGCCCAACACGATCTCTCAACCTTCGTCGTGTGATCTGTATTTAGGTAGTTATTTAGTATGACGATGATGGCCAGGTCCAGTTCTGAGGGGGGGGGGGGGGGGGACAAGGGCGACCGCCCTACGCCGAAAAAAAGTAGGAAAAAAAGGCCCAACATTTTTTCTTTATTAATACTCTGAGTAGCCTTCTTTTTTTTTATTCTTAAGTTCAATTAATTAGGCCTAATGTTTAATTTTGTTGACAATTTGAAAATTTAAAACATGAATAAAAGTTCTGAAACAAAGTCAAGTTTAAAAAAGAATATATAGATTAATTTTAAGCAGGACCGGTTGTATTTTTAAAAAGCAATACAATTGTTTTCGGATCAATAAAAGACATTCCACTTTAGTCTTCACATCTCTTTAGTCTTTAAGGCTTTTTATTCATTTTAATTCTATCATAACAAATTTATATGATTATTTTAGAGCTTGTGTCTCTTAAATTTCATCCAATTATATATTTGTTTTCAAATTTCAATAAACTATATTTGATTTCCTAATAATAGTTTTAGAGGACGTCAAATTGGCAGTCTTGTTGGGCAAATCTTCTGGGCGACCTAATATTTTGTCACTTTGAAAACCTTCATTCCTTGGATGCTTCAAACTTGGACTCTCAACGGTCAATAAACCATTCTCCACTTATGAATTTAATATGTAGTAATATTTCTTTTCATTTATCCTTTCAATTGTAACTGAAAGAAAGTTTAGTGTTGTTTTATAACTTATATGTGACAATTTTATTGTTTGCTATATTTATTTGTGGAAAGAAGATTGCCTATGAAGCGGTTCTTGATGATTTGCTTCAATTCATATTGTTCTTTTTTTTTTAATTTTTATTCGATAATCCTGTTGTTATTCTTGTCCAAATATGTATCTTAAATAATAATAAATTGATTCTCACCTTTATTTTACGGACTTTATTTGATGCTTGTGTTATAATTTAAATTTCAAATAATAAGATTTATGTTTGATATAAGCCCAAAATAGCGTATTACCCATAGGTCCAGAAATTGACAATTTGAAATATGGCGATGTTTTGTGAGATGGAGGGAAAACTCATTTTTGAATATTCAATTTCAAGATTAGCCTTTTTAAGAAGAATTATCACCTTCCTTAATAGACACATGTTGAATTAGTGTCTTCTCGTCAAAGCACTCTATAATCTCAAAGTTTCATGCACTTTTGTAATTGTTACCGCAAATCTGAAACAATTTTAATCCTTCTTCGCTACAACTCCATCCCTTAGTGTATCGTTTGATTTGCCCAAGCCTTCTGGGATCGGAATGAAATCTCATTTAATTTTATCGTGACAGAATATTGATGTGTATGTGAGCAAATTTGTTAGGGAGACAATAAACATTTAATTTGTTGAACTCGATTTAATCCTCTAGTGAGTATGCTTCATCTTCTTCATTTATCATTTAGGGAGTTATGTATTTTCTTTTGTATGCAGATTTTCAAACAACCAACGCTGGGTTGAACTAAAGTTGCACCAAATACAAAATACACAAATAATGTAAGAGTACTGTTGTTAAAGACTTGATACTCCCTCCATCTCTTAAAATTATTCCAACTTTCCTTTTTAGGTCGTCCCTAACATTCTTCCAACTTACTCTTTTGAAAAAATTGTGTGGCTCACATTCATTTACATTTTTCTTACACAAGTACAACCATATATTTCTACTTTATTCTCACTTTAATTTCTAAATTTGCGAGTCAAGTCAAACTTGGAAGAATTTATTGGGACGGAGGGAGTACTTTGAAACTCCATTGGGAGAATGTATTTTTTATACAAATAGCATATAAGCAAATTCATCTACGAGTGAAGAGAGAAAAATGAACTTGGGTGGAAAGAAATGCATGTTTTTTGTAGAAAAAGTTGCAAATCAAAGAAATGACAAAGAGCGCTCATAAAGTCACAAAATGAGGAGTAATGAAACGAATAAAAAATGTGAACATTTCAAAGAATTTGAACAAGTAACGTCAATAAATGAATGTGTTATTTTTTATTGTAAAAGTAAAAGGTTTAAGTATGGTCATAAATTGTGGTATGAATTATATCTGCCTTCTCACCATATATGATAGTTATCTTAATTTTTTTTTGAAAGGTGGGGATTAATCTGCCTTCTCACCATCTTCATTAATAACATCAAGTGGAACCGTCGTCCGACCGGAAGGAGATTTAGGTCGGGATCCATTGAATGATAGGGCCCACATGGATCCAATGGTCGAAATAGGCCAGCTGCTATAGAAGAAAAACCAGACCCAATATTTTTTCACCTAAAGTTGTCTCCTTTTTTTCCTCTTTTATGTGTGGGTGTGTGTATGGGCATGATTGGAGAGCTTTGCCTGCATTGGCTCTGAAATCCTTAAAGAAAAGTTTCCCAAGATTACACATCACACCCCCTAAACTTTCACTAAAACTAGAGAAGGCAGCAATACCTATGCATTTTGACTCTCCCCCTAAAATTGACTTCCCTTTCAATTCTTCAAACTCCAAGGCATTTTCCATCCAAAGGACTGGACTTTAACTTGTTCTTTCATCTTTGAGTTCCAAATCTTCCCTTAGTCCATCTTCATGAACAATGAGGTGGTGGGGTTTTAGCAAGAAACAGAAGATGAGTTTGGGTTTTTTGTCTCTTCTTCTTCTCCTACTTCTACAGCTGAAAGCTCCAAACTACTATGCAGATGATGGCCACCTCAGCAATGGAGATTCCCACAGATTAAAAAATGGGGTCAAACCCATTTCTGGTGTGGGGTTGACTGCTCGAAAATCCCACAATCGGATCCCAAAAGCAGCCACAAATTTGGGCGGCCATGTTGAAGAGAAGAAGGAAGATGATATTTTTGGTGCTGATAAGAGGAGAGTCCGTACAGGACCCAATCCCTTACACAACAGATAAGTAGCAGATCAGTGTTGTAAGTGAAGAGATATACTCATCTCTAGATTTTTGTTTTTCTTTTCTTTTTCCTGTTTTTTGATTTTCCATTTGATTATATATCTAGCCGCTTCTTGTTCTTTTTTTGGATTTAAAATGGTTACCCTCATATTACTTGTTCTTATGTTTGGCTCAGTTTATTGAGGGGCATTAAGTACTCCAGAATGTTTCCAGAAATCTTAGCTTGGATAGTTGGATTTGTACATTCACAACCTGGTCTTTCTTGTTCTACAGTAGTTCTATTTACAAATTAAAATGAGGACATTGATATAGTTTTTTTATTTTAAATGATGGTTACGTTCTATTTTTTCAATCCTATGAATTACAAGCTTACGTACAATTGATACCTTATACGATGTACATTGTTTACATACTGTTTTTACCGATATAGTTCTTATATATTATATATTGAATTGTGCCCCCAGCCACTTGCTCTTAAATAAGTGCATGTGTGTTCATTAAAAATAAAAATACTCCGGCAGTCCGGCCTAAAACATTACAATGAAAAGGTTTATAAATAATAACTGGTTAACTATTTAGACATTGAATGAACATAACAAAGTTATCCTACCATATCATACTTGAGCTTTTCAATTCCTTTAAATTTCTGTTTTAATACCAGCAAATTATTAGGGGGCCGGTGTGCGTGTGACAATTGATCAAAGAAGTTTACGTTTTTAAAACCTTATACTTTATTTAAATTTAATATTCCATTATTATAATCATTACAAATGGAAAATTATACGTACAATGTTAATTAGGTTGAACATTAAACACGTTTTCCATTTTTCAATGTATTAATGCTTTAAATGTATGAAAAATCATACGAGTAAAAAAATTGAAATATTAGTAAAAATATGCATTCGATTCCGATCTTAATGGAATGATGAATGTCGAGCTTTTTAGTGAAAAAATAAACAGTTTAGGAGAGAAAAGAAATTAAAACGCTTATCCAATCAAGGACAATTGAGCCAAGTACCTTATGCTTTCACAAAATTGCTTACCCGATCGAAGTGAATGTTAAGGTGATCATAAGTTGAGTTTTGTCTCAATCAAAGATATTAACATTGTTGAGCAAATACTATGATAAGTAGAAATGTATACAAAACCAATCAAAAAGAATTGAAGTGCGTACTAAATACTTTCGGTTGCATTCGTCCCAAAAAATTGTTTTCCTTCAATTCTATGAAAAAGATTCTTTGATTCCTACTATTTGATTCCTTAAACTTGTGGTCATTTTCATTTTCTTAATCTATCTCAAAAATCAATTTGGGGAATATATAATGGGACTATGAGAGGAAGGGAGTTTATGATTCGAGAGTACATCCCTAGGCTAGGGTGATATGATGACACTTTAACCAGTAGATAATGAATCAAGAAAACTCTTAATTGCAACAGAAATCAAATAAAGTATGATGAGCTGAGGCAGGCCGCATGCAGTACTTGTTATGTATGACAGTTAAATTTTTGTCTATTTATGCCCAAACTTGTGGTGGTTTTCCCATTTCTTGCAAGCCCAGATGACCCAAAGGTGGAACTGGGAATGTCTTTTGCCAAGTTCAAATGATGTGTGGTATTTTCAGTTGTGTCATTTTACTTATCCAGATTTCTGAATTTAGCAGAAGAAAACAAAAACTGGGATATCACACGTTTCCACTAAAAGATATACTCCTCTTTCACTTACGTGATGATGACCAGGCTAAGCCATTTTACATGTAATTTGGTCCATGATATACCAAATCTCCCTGATCTGACCCTGACTATAATGGGTCGCACGTATATACGGAGTATGTATTAATTCATGTATAGTTTTATTATTATAGGTTATCATATTATTGCTCATATTGTTGAACAAGTCATCTCACACACACGAACATTAAATATGAAATTAAAAACCAAAATATATTTAAAATTTCAAATTACACATTTATTTGGTTAAACGTTTAAATGAAACTTTCAAGTCTTAATATAATATACCATCATGTTCAAGTCTTAAACTTAATGTGTGGATGTAGTCTCTTTTTTATGAATGAGCTTCAATTTAGTCGTTTTTAAGAGACTCGTCTTCGTTGGTGGTGTAGCTCAACTGATATATATAATATATGGAGTGTCACAAAGTGTAAGTCCAGAGTTCTAATATCATCAACAATGATGATATGTTACTATATATCCTAAACATAGTGACTCTACAAATACGTGACTCAGAGTCTCACTCGATATCTATCTGCTTGTGATTAAAGTTCATTTTCATCCGCCCTCCTACTTAACTTTTCGGCTAATGTTGAGGGCCTCAACAATGGGATGTTATTTTTTTTAGAAAGTAATCCCCTTTGATCAGGGACGGATCCAGGATTCTGAGTCAAGGGGGGCGAAATTTTTCATTAGTGTAGGGGGTGAATTTTTTTTTGTTAGTGTAGCGAGGTGAAATTTTTTCCCCTAGTATAGCGGGGCGAAATTTTTTCGCTACTGTAGGGCCATGCGGCTATTTTTATTCAAAAAATGATATTAATTCATGCACATCCTGAACGACATTTAAATCTATTACATTCTAAGTTTAGGCGATGACAAAGACATCAACCAATACATTTTTAATAACTTCTACATTGTTTAACCTCATGAATCGGTTATTGAATTGTAATTTTTGTCCACCAAGGAGGGTGTTCGTGAGTCATGACTCATGAGAAGTTTTCTTAATATTACAATAGTAGTATACTAATATGTATGAGATTGTTATTTTTAGAATAATATGCACCACATACACACACACATATATATGGTGCATATTATATTTTAGTATTTTTATTAATTCTGTAATAATTTAGAGTTTATTATCCATGCAATAAATTATTTTTAGAAAGCAAGAAGTAAATGAATTATGTAATCTAATGATTATAAATATTTATATTTGGATTCATTTCACGTGATCTAAAAATTGTGTAATTAGTGTGATGTCTGGTATTTAATATTGTTTGATATATGTTTTACGAAATCCAGTACTTGTTATCTAATAAAGATAATTAAACATTACAAAACTAGGAATTCTTATATAATAAGTATCCTAAATCTTAAATAACGAGTTACTCTATTGTTTATTTGTTTAAGTTATGTAAATTATTTTAGATGTTTCTTCTTTTAAATCTCCAATTAAGTATTACATTATGTAAGACTATATATATTAATTTTCAAAATTAAAAGCTAAGGGGGGCGAATCTAATTAAATTATGAAAGTTTTATGAAAATATTACATATATGGTAAAAAAAATTGAATGTCCAAGGGGGGCGGTCGCCCCCCCGCGCCCCCCCCTAAATCCATCCCTGCCTTTGATTAATCTATTATTAGTACTCCATTATAAATGAACTATACTTGTTATTATGCTTCCAAGGTCACGCATTCAATTCCTTCTAGCCGTCTAGGCTTCTATCCGTTGATATTTGGCTATCAAGACGTACTCAAGAGAACGGGTTTTGTGAACAAAAGGTGTGGTAAATTAGTAGCTGCGTTGATGGTTATCCCACAACATGTGAAATATGTAGTGGCCATTCCTTTGAAAGTATCCAATCTCTTAGTGGCCATTCCTTACACATCCTCTAATATGTTTTTATTAGTTGATTAATTGTACAATGCATATAAAATAAATATAATTTTTTATATTGAGGTACTGTAGAATTTGCATATAGAAATTAAACAAATGTGGTTATTTTTTATTGAAGTTACTACTCCAATTGACAAAACACGTGTTTTAGCCTTTTCCTTACATGTTTCATAAATAACTCATCAATATCATATTAATATATTTTTGAATATAATTTAGCAGAATCAGTCAATCTTTGGATCATATGATCGAGTAGTTTACCAAACCCATTCACAAAAAACCTACTACTTACTAAATAATCCGTACATCTTAGCAATTAACCCGATGAGGTTTCATTTGAAAAAAAAAAAAATCACAATATCAACTACCAAAAAATGTCAACATTTCTTAAAGTACAAGATATAAATTGACAAAGGTAAAATAGTAATGATGGAAGGTATATATCATGTTTTCGTGAGTGACTCCGACCTGATAAAGGTGTGATACTTTCGTGCCATATACTACTTGTAATACATATGGTATAATAAATGATGACAGTTCCCTATGACTTGTTTGGTTGTAACTTAATTATAGGCATGTATAAGCATTGACCAATTCATTTCTCCTTTCTTTGTATGTGTGGAATAATTACGAGTACTATTTTTTTGACTCTTCTTAAAACGTACAAAAAAATATTCAGAGAGTAAAAACAATTATTTGAATGTACTTTTTAAATATTATAAAAAAAGAGTATTCTTATACTCTAAAGACTAACAACAAGGAGAAACATTTGTTGGTGGAAAAGGAAAAAGAAATCACCGACGGTGCAATTGTCTACCATGTAATTTAATTGCTTGTCATGTACTCTCAAGCCTGGATACATACTAAACTAGATGGAGCATTCAAAGCCATGTCAATGGTATTGGAACAAACTTCTGTTCTACTTAATTGGCCCGCCATAAATGCGAATAAGGGCACCGGTTGATATTTACTTCGTCGATTTCAGAGCATATATACCAACGTCACCTTAGTTAAGTGAGATATTTAATTATATATATATATATATATATAATAAAGATATTACGGTTGAAAATTTATATGTATGAATTGAAGATATTATGGTTGAAAATCGAATATACGAGTATTAATTTCCCTCTCATTAAGTGACTTTATTGAAACATTTAATTAACACTTATAATTAGGATATTTTTAAGGGAAAATGGAAACTAATAATCCAACCTTTTAGCGGTCTTCTATTAATAGTCCGACTTTTTTGTTATTCATGAATAATCCAATCTTTACACCTCATCTTCATTCACTGGTCCCTGACCGGTTGATGACCTGCTATTCCAAGTTATTTTCTTATCTTTGCAAAATATTATATTTGTGAAAGGTGGAATTTATGGTATAATAGTTTGGAGAGATGAGGCTCTTTAAATCTGTCTCCTCTAGATCCTCTTGTTGATTATGAGGCTCATTACTCGGGAAGTATGTAGGAGTGGCTGAAACGTTTGTGTTCGTAAATTGTGGGGAGGAAGAAGTGGGGTATGCAGTTTCCCGGAAAGGATGGTCATATAGAGGTTTGATGGGGCAAATACATAAATGGTGATCTCCTCCACAGAAGGAACAAATGCTATCCTTAAAACATTCAGATATTTCCTCAGGCGTTTTATTTAGAAGCATAAATTCAAGAATGGAGCCTCGTCTTACGCTTACCCAAGGGTAATGTGATGAAGGATAGTAAGAATCAGAATGAAAGTGTTGTGTGGTTGGAGTGTACGGATAAGAAGGCTGAATATTTTGTGGCGTAGGAGAGTAATTTTGATGAGGTGTGTAATATTGAGAAGGAGGAGTGTAAGGAGGGTATGGCGTATATGGTGAAAATTCCATGGAGGTTTGAGGGTAAGGAATTCCTCCAGGAATTTGAGTGAATGAGTTCATCTCATCCTCTTTGAAAGTTACCTGAAAGGTTAGCACAGAAAAATCCTACGAACAACTAAAAAAAACTAACTAAAAAAAGAAATCTCGCTAAAATTAATTAACCCTTAAA